ATAATATTCTAAGTATGCATTTCTACAGAAAATGATGTTACAGAACAGAGATATTGACACCAGACCCACATTATGATCAAAGAGTCAACACAAAGAATTTCAGTCTTTCGTGATATATTATGTTAGTTAATAACTCTATGTTTCGAATACGAAAAACTAATTGGCAATTGCACCTCATTTTAAATAAAAAATCGACAAAAACAAAAACACCCATCGACTAAACCTTGTAACGTTTCAACCGATGTACAAAAATAAAACAATAATCTTCCAAAAGTCAAAAATATAAAAATTAACAAGGTAAAATAAGAAAATACAAGAATTTGAAAGAATATATGTATGTAATAAACAACACTAGAAAAATGACAGCAACGGTACATTATCAAAAAATTTCCGAATATATGTTTATATATCCACAAAACTCAGATATATATATGTTTAAAAACTCAAAACCAAGACAGTAGATCAAAAAACTTCAGCTACCTTACTTGCAAGAACACGGTCACGCCTCTCGATGTATCCAAACGGAAACCAACCAGCTTTCCCTTTGCACTCACCTTCAGCCCAGCCATTGTTGGAAACCTTGAAACGAAGCAAACGGATATTATTAAATGAAAAAAAAAAAAAAAACTAATTAGCAAGTTTACAAATGGGAAAAATGTCATAAAGGGCAAAACCTTCCGAACGACCACATAGTCACCAATTGATAAATTAAGCTCCACATCAGATTCAGCTTGATACGAGTACAAAACCTGCAAAAATAATATGAATTTATCATCATTAGGTGACGATTGATTATCATCAACTTCGCTGGAAAATCTCCAATTCACTAACCTCCCCAAGAAAGTAACCCATACAATCAGTGGACCCGTTTTGCATTGGTGAAGTAGACGCGCCGTTTAGTTCTTCATATGATGGTGGGGGTGGAGCAGGCATAGTATCCACGATTGGGGCAGGAGCTGCTTCAATTCTTTGCCGCTCGGACATCATCTTAGCATAATAAAAATAGAGAGCAACAAAAGATTAAAGGAAAAAAAAAAATCGGTACCCGTTAAAAGTTTGTCTAGTGCTGTAATCGAACTGAACGACCAGAGCTTGGGGGTTTCGAAGTTGTGTTCGTGTTCGTTCGTTTATTTTTCGAGCAAAAAATGGTGTTTGAGCTCGTTTGTCAAAATTCGAGTTCGTTCGTGTCCGAATAATCTAGGACATAAACTTCTTAAATATGTATGATTAACTAGAAATGGTTCGAACTCAAAAATAAAAATATATTTATATTTCAGATTTTTTCAATAAACATATCACGTAAATTTATTAAAAATAAGACAAATTTATATCAAACTAATGTTCTTGAACATTAACAGCATTCGCAAATGAGCTCGTGTTCGTTTGATTATTAAACGAGCCTAATTTTCTATTCGAACTCGGCTCGATTAACAAACGAACGAGCTCTTGCCTAACGCAAACGAGATTTTGTTCACGTTCGTTAACAGCATGACATCGTATTCTGCTCATATGTGAAGTATCAAAACGTTGCACTTACTTCGCCTTCTAGCAGATCGAGTATTTGAAGGACACGCTGATGGTAAGCTCGTTCGGCCTCAACCTTGAACATAACAAGAATAATTATGGAGAGTTTATGAAAGTGACATGTCGTATTTACTTTCGATTATGAAAAAAAACTACCAATCTTCGCTTCGATGCGATTCGTTTACAACCCTACAAAATTAGTTTATTTCTGGAATGTAAGGGGGGTATCTAGAATATTTTACAAACATAAGTGGGTTCTAATTTTCTATAGATCTTTTGCTTATAAGGTTGGAATGCAATGAAAAGTCAAACCACACGAGTTTCTTCTCAATCTCGCAAACTTCTGGATTTTTTTTTTTTTTTTTTTTT